TCGCGCAGAGACATCAGCCTCTTCAGTACAGCTACGGAGGTGAACGATATGTGTTTAAACCCCGATGGAGGCGTTATCTGCTTAGGCAGGATGTATGATGATTGCGAGCTTTGGAATGCACGGCCAAATTGTTGTCCAAGAACGTTGGCCGCCTCTTGTGCGGTTTGGGCTAACCCGCATGCTGTGTGCAGAGCAGAAATACCGCGCTTAACACGGCGCAAATTGTTTACGTGTCTGTATAGCAGTTTGGGATTAGAGCGAAACTTTTCCACCAGACCTTGTTGGTTCTTAAGTTTATCCTCCCGAACGAGTTTGACACAGTGGTTCCTTTGTATTGTGTAGACATCCCAGGTATGGTCGTTCGGGGAGGCTATATACATGTGCCATGCCAAGTCCCTTAAAGCCATGCACTTACGTGTCCTGCTCCTTACGAAAGACTTCATCCTTTTAGGCCGGTAGAGTTGGGCTTCAGATATCCTTGCCACGCGCTTAACAAATACGTTGACCAATACACCGCAGGCCACCTCAGGGGTTAATTCAGCTGAGAACGACTAGCTGGTTGCATAAATGAGGTCGGACAGGTCTTCATAGTTGGTTACGACACGATATTCCTCGGCATGCTCTTCAGGATAATCCGCGTCGCACATGTAATTAAACAATAGCGTTGCATGATCACTGCGGCCAAAAAGAGTATCGGTTATCACTCTCTCGACCATCAGTTCTTCATTGGTGAACATTCGGTCCGACATGGATGGCCTGTTAGTTCCGCTGAACCTGGTGGGCGTAGTGACGTGGCCATAAAGCGGGTAGTCTGAAACCAGATCTTGCAAACTGCTTTGAATTGCTCTCCTGGTGTGGCCTGGGATTCGAGAGCATGCAAGTTGAAGTCGCCGGTGACTAGAATGTGCTTGTACTTCCTGTTTATCACTTTCCTCAACGCGGCCGCCAGAATGCAGTCCATCTCAGGAGTAGACGATGGTGGGCGGTAAACAACAACCAATAGGCCAAGATCGTTCCCTCTTAGCCGGAAATTACACCAAATGGCGTCAGATACGTCGGTTTCCGAATCGTTTAGGCCTTCGCATTGCATATTGTTACGAAAATGAAGAGCTACCCCACCACCTTTTTTGGTTCGATCCTTCCGGACAACGGACATGCCGTTAGCTCGATTTCAGTATCCGTTATCTCGCAACGCAACCACGTTTCGGTGACAGTGATGAGGTCCCAAGCTGCAGACGCGTGACGAAGTCTTAATTCAACTAATTTGCTGAGTAGACCTTGGGCATTTATGTACATGCATGAGAGCTGCTCGGAGACCAAGTGAGTGTTCGATTGGATGGATGAAGCAAATGAGTTTACGCCGACCATTAAAGGGTCGGCGACTAATCGCTTTTTGGATGGATTGCATACTCAGGAGAAGCGTTTGATATATAAACAGGTATCTGATGCCCTGAATCCCGGTGTTTGCTCATGCTCTGCTGTGCCCCTCCGGATAGTATGGCTCCTCTTGAAACCGTCCCCGAGTCAGTTCCTGCAGTTGGCGTTTTCATTGAGAGTTGTGCCTCTACTGAATTGTCATTAGAAGGTATTGGTGTTCCTGCTGCTTTCAGACGAATTTCTGTGGGTAATCTGCAACGGAATTTGATCCAGTTCGTTATAAGGGTTTGTGCCATTAGTTCTGACCGTAACACAAGTTTTAACAGACTGAGACCGCACCCCGTATAGTTTGATGATATGGGGATCCTTGTCATCGAGGTGACCACCACATTTTCGAGAGAAAGAGCCTCCCGGATGCAGTGCCATTGCTCGTGGTCTTGCATCTGAGTATCGTCGGGAGAGGAATCAGTAAGCTCAGGAACACCGTGAGCAATCACTGTTTTCTTATCTTGACTTTTTCTGTAGCTTTGTTAGCGGGATCTCCTGAACGTTCTTTCCATGGGGTTTAGGGTAGTATGTGCATTCCACTTGAGTCGTTGCGGAGACGATTCGCAGACAGCAGAATGGCCTCAGTTTCGTCCGTCGAGTTTAGTGTTACCCGAAGTAACTGGGGCTCGCCGTAGTGCAACGCATTTGGGTGGCGCGAGCTTCTTCTTAATTTCGTAGGATTAGCATGAACACCGATCGACGTACAGATGGAACCCCACTGACTTCCATCGTCCGTCAACTTACCCTTAATTGTATTGGATTTGGATTCGGGGACATTTGTGCATACAAGGTTTATGGCACCATGGTTGCGCCTGGTGGCTACTGGTTTTGGATTTGGAGGCTAAGTATCCTGTGTTTTTGTTGAATTTGTGAACGGCATTGGTGTGTGCCATCCGGGTTGCGGCAGTTTTGCTTTCTCTAGGCCGGACACTAAGGTTACCAGTGCTCTTTCCAGTGTTTGCTTGGCGGCAACCGATGCGTACGTTTCCGGGTTGTTCACTATTGCTGGTTGACTGTAGCTTACGATCTCGAGTGTAGCGAACAGACTACTAGGTGCAGCACACAGTACAGAAGTTGAGGCAGGCGCGCTGCAGGCACTGTTTTTACTTATAGGAGGGAGAGAGAATGGAGTTGATACTGCTGGAGGCTGGGTCGTTGGCGTTAGATTGGGACGCCTGGCCCTCTTCTTTGGCTTGACTAGGGAATTCGGGGTGTTATTTTCACTCACAAGTGCAGGTCCATTTCCTCCCATGGGTGTAACTCGGGCACTCACCCGTTGCTCGACCCCTTCGGTTAGTCTTTCACACCTCTTCAGTAGCACAGATGGACAACCAACAAATGGAATAGACTTGCACACTTGACAGAACTAAAACGCCTCTGCGGTGTTTGCTTTCGTCGACCCCTTCCCAAGGCAGGTAGTGTGATAGGATTTCAAACACATGGTACACACCAGACCACTTTTTATCACTTTATCACATGATTCGCATTTGCTCTTCATACGAGACATGTTCTCAGTAGGGGTGCTGTTTTAAGGGGTAGAAACAGGACAGAGATACTGACGCACCATTGCGTGGCGATCGGCACTGGTTTGAGGTCAGCAGGTCCAGGCGTGTCGCGGCCAGATGAGCCACACGTTCTTTAGGGTAGATGGGCGACGTGCGTGCTATTGATCCAGCCGGTAGAGGGTAGGCAGCTTGCGACATAGGACTGAGGCAAGGCAAGGTGACTTGGAAAATACTGTCTAATGACGACCGTTGCAGTTCCAAGGGCGGATCAAATTGACGACTATCGCTTTGTAGAGCGACTTGAAGGAATGGTAGTAAGCTGATCGGGTAACTCTCAAAAAGATCTTTAAAATAAGCCCCACAAGAGTTCTTATACGACGAGAGGAAAAATAAAACCTCCGATAAGGTTTAAATACGGTTGACTTCGAAGTTGCAAGAGCATAGTTTTCTGGTGATCCGTGAATGATAGATCCAATAGATGAACAGTGGTAGGAGGAGCTCGCAGAGCCAAATCGAATGATGGCACGTAGGTCTCTGTGAGAATAAATCCAAAAATTTGGAAGCGATAACGCAGGAGGACAGATTTTTCGCGACCGCTCGGCACAAGGTGGGCTGTATGCTTAGAGCCAAGGGACGGTAAGTGTATGAGGTGCGAAGGTGTATCAATAAATAAACTGAGCTACTTCGTCTAGTGGATGGCGGCTTAGTGATGGAATCTATCCATCTGTCCCAGGGATTTGGCTGCTAACATTTAGACTCATTTGATATTTTCGTTAATTTTTGTCTCTTTTCTACCTATAGCATTGTTAAACAGGTGTATTATAACGTAGGTAATAGCAGTCATGCTAAGCAGTTGCACCGCCGTTCAGTTCACGGATTGATACCAAACACTTAAGCAGAATTCATCCTTCATAGTTACATCGAGTCGATGGGCCGCAGGTACTTTCATCCACTGACAAGCTGATGTGAAATGTATTCCGACTATACATGCTGGGCCACTTAGTTCATGCGGTAACTGGTGTGTGGAAAATAAGTTCCTTTTCTTTAGGTGCCGATCCATATAGACCAAGGTGCTATCTCCCGCCACCGTTAACTGACGTATCGCTTCCATACCAGCGCTGAAGATAGTGAGCAGCTGTATACCACAGTCCGGTTGAATCTCATGCTGTGTTGGATTGTAATGTGCGTAGTTTCGTACCTCAGCCACAGGGTAATAGCCCCTGGTGACGCTTAACATTCATGCATTTCCTAAAAGTCTTACCTATCACCGGTAAGGCGAGGTTGACCAAAGTACTTCTAGGGTAAGCCAGTTCAGTATTATCATTAGCTCATCCCGAAGGTAGGTGAATCGATTGAGTGAACATAACCACCATCAAACGGCCGACCTGGAACCGCCTTATTTCACCCATTACTGGCTAAGTTACCTACATTAGCTTACTTGCACTGCATACAAACACCAGATGACATAACGTGAAGCAATTTGTCTGGAGTCTAACACCGTCGTCTACGCGAAAGTTACGCCTGAGACTGAATCAATTGTGCCTAGCTAGTTCGCAACTGGAAATCCTACCACGTAGCTGTCACCGCCGCCAACGGCTTATGTTGTGGGTCAAACTCCTGCCGGGTTAGCATTAATGAGTACGACGGGTTTAATCCCAGTGAGATGAAACTGTGTTCTAGTGGTTCTACGGAGTGTGTGTGTGTCGGTTTTGGATTGCATGCAAACGTCTTGGACCTACAAAGCACGCTCCGGATTTGTGTGTTGATTTTGCTGAGCATTTCAGTGTCATGCACGGAGCGTCGTAGCATCCAAGTGGAACTGTTCAGATGGATAGATAATAGTTTTAATGTTTGTATTGTATGACCTCGTTCGCAGCTGACTCATGACATTAAGGCTACCAGTAGCTAGGTAACTATCAGTTTCGAGCTTTTGGTGGGATAGTAACGTACTACCGAAGTTTCCATGAAACCTCCGAAACGGTGGCTATCTGTAGGTGAATTTGCATCCTTCGGACCATATACCAGATCTGATAGCTCCTAAGCCACCTAGACAAGGAACATAGACAATAGTCATGAAGCTGCAAACTCATTAGTGAGATGTGACCAACCTCTGGAGTCCACGAGGACAACCACGGATCGTTGATTGCATACCACCGTGTACTCCGTCGTGGACAGACGTGATTGCGATGCCAAGACAGTGCCTCGATGGAAATTCAACCCTGGAGGTATTGAAAAGCATACAATGTCCAGCGTCTCGTCCACTTGAGCTTGGTCCGATGGGTCTCTGGCTATCCACCTGCAAACGGGATACTTTTCTATCGAGCCTACATCAAGCACAATTATTGTGTTGTTGTTACAGTCAAATATGGGTGGCCGATCATCGTAAACGCTGAGCTTCAGTGTCTGATAACTTTCGACTTCCGTTAAGGTGCATATAACATCCAGTTGTGTAATCGTCTCCTCGGGAACTTGGTAATCGCATTGCAGTGACAGAGAGGTAATATGTGGCCCTTCGCAAGCGGAACTAGGCGGTACGTATGACCAAGTGACGCAAGGGACGAATTCGGAGTCCAGCCTTGTAACATTATAGCTTCGGTTGTAAACATTCGCGCGTATCGACAAATCGCGTTCTGGAGGGGCTGCAAAAATAGAGTGCAATTAAATAAATTCCTACTTTCAAATTCAAAAGAAATTGCGGAGACTTATCAAAACGTACAGTGATATGCGTTTGATTGTGATAATTATGTTAATTACTATAGCATTTGACGAGCAGACATCAACAGTCTCAGTGCATCGGAACTAGCGCCACGAAGCCAAGGCCAATGGTAACCGATCATGAGGGAGTTTAATAACATCAGTCTGATGGAACTAATCATGGCAAATTCATTCAGTGGCATCCAGAGCCAGATAGTTATCTCACTGTGTGTCCCTGACATCTCGCGTTGCAGTGGGAAATAGTTGCATGGGCATTTTAGACGAGCAGATGCGTGCCCTTATGAAGGTGACCGGCTAGTTAAGCTGTAGACTCCTTTTCTAAACTAATCTCCGGTCTGATTTGCCATTATTTGTTTACCAACGGTAATGAGAATAGATGACTGGGATTAACCTGTGGTGGGTGGGTAAAAGATGTTGGTGGGACAACTTCCGCAATCAGGGTCTGCACATCACCTGCGTAGCATTTCATAGTGTGTCTGTTTCCACCCCTCAGATAGCGTTACTATGGCTTGAACTCGGGTTGCAGAGATTACTCGCTAATGCCTTGAGAACCTGCGTCAACCAACAGCAGGCCAAACTTGTCCCGCTAAGTAATCGTCCCTTGTGGGTTTATTTTGAATCGTTGCCCATGGTGACTCGGTGGCTGAATACGGTAGAGATTTCGCCTAGCATCCTAATGGTCTGATGTTCGATGCCCACTATCTCTACCTGATGAAAGCAGTGCAGTTTTTGGGTGGGCAATACCCAGAATCTACCTGCTTTATCTGCTATTTGAGTGCATCGCGATACACAGTCTCAGACTGGTCAGCAATTTAACTGGAATTTCTTATAGACCAGTTCGGCAGCGATGGGATCCTTTCTGATATGGATAAACGCCAGGTGCAATCTGCACTCTAGAGGTTTTGTACTTGTTCGCCATTATCAGAAATAGAAAACAGTGACGTAAAAACGAATTGGATTCCCGTTTATCAGTCGTGGTACTGTCAGTGCATTGCGTTTGTGTCGAAGCTATTAGGTAACCACTGGCCAGGTGGATAAATGATCGGTCACCTCAGATAGTAACCCCTACAAGCGTCTCAGAAGTTCACCTGTGGTTGTCTGGCATCAGATGCACTCTGGTGAAGACTCTGAATGTGATTTTGCATCTGAAACACCTACGTTCCTCAGGTTAGGTGCTTTGTGTTCCTGCTAATAGTCTCACTGGGTAGTAGACGTTGGCAGTACTGTTTTTGGTTAAACAGGTTCCCTAAATCTGCATGACGGATGGGTTTGAAAGTGGAAGTGAATGTCTGAGACACGTTGGTGCTGTCTTCCAAGCTGAGGACCTTGGGATAGCTCCGATTCCAGAGGATAAGTAGCTCTCATTCAACAGTGTGCTTCCAAGCTGCCACAAGCGCATTTACACACGGTTCCGTGATATTGAACGTTAGCCAATTCATCAAACCATCCAAATGTTCCAGCCTTGTTCACAAATATGTGAATAGTCTATTCTTGATAATGAGAGGTGCGCATACATAAGCATTATCAAGGTAGAACAAAAATTCACGATCGGTAAATGTACAAAAAGTTACAATGGATCTAATCACGTATTCGCTTAGGTATGTTTGCTTTTTCCAGCCTTCATCAGAAATGGAATGCGTAAGCTTGCCGCAAGTCCACATGACTTATGTCGTTGTAGAGACAACATCCTGATATGGCTACCTTGGCAGCTTACTTCCTAGTGACCTCCAGTTGACAAGCTAGCCCCCATTCGGCAAGCTGGAAAATTGGGTGTGGAACAATTACTAACCTACCGTTGGGACAAATCCATTAGTGCACCGGTCAATGGTATCGTTGGTTCTCCGTTAAGACAACCAAACATGGGTGTTGTGTCGGAGGGATATTTGCTATTTGGAGCGCCTTCCGCAACAGTCCCTGGGTCGGATTTTGCGTATACATTGGTGTGACAGAGTTGCATACACGGAAATGTACCACCGCAGTGGTCTGTATGTAGTTGACCGAAACACCTGCTATATGAGCAGTTTAATACAGGGACGTGTAACATGGGCAAACCGAAGCTAAGTTACCAGGATATGATCAAGGTGCCATCAACATTACGCTGCAACACAAGAGCTGCGCTTCGCTACCATGCAACCATCACCAGTCGTGCGTGGGCTAATGACAGTGCGTGCATTACCCGGTCCCCTACGCAGGCTCGTACCCGCTACATCTAAATTGCAACGCAGGCATTGTGATCCTTCCCGCCACGGGTCAGTGAGCTTATCACGAACTAGTGTTGATTTTTGATGTCGGGGAGCAATGGCAGTAGATTGATGTTAATGACGTGAGCATATCAAGTGGGATGTTGCCCAGATGCAGCAGAAACCACTGTCAAATGCGAAGGAGAAACGTATAGTTTGGAAATGATGGGCCTCGATGAAGTTTACATCACCAACGTCAAGCGCATGGTGTTATAGTAAAATTGGTAAATCAGCAGCATTGCTACATGAGGTCAGCTTAATAGGTACGGATCAATAGTGCAACACTTGGTTAGTACCCTAATTCTGATTCCATAACATTTAATAACTCAGGCCGATTACTCCATTGATGTGGTACGTGTGCACCATCATCGCTATATTTTGTCTGTACATATGCGTGCGTGCTGATTTCCCTGCATTTCAGGTGTTGGCTGTAGATTGATATCCTTGGTGGGGCTGCGCTCGATGTGAATGTTGACAAGGTGCCTATCTGTCTATATATCTTTGCAACAGCCCACGAATAGACATGGAGCCATCAAAATCATGGAACTCAAAGGAAGATATAGATATCGTTAAAAAACACAACACAACACGGAGCAGTCCATGATTTTGTCAGAGGGCTAGGTACTGCTCGGTTGCCCAAGCCGAAGTAGGGTGCTCACTTAAGGTACACGACCTCGAGTCTTTGGCTGAGTGGCCTGTCCGCGAGGCAGCATAGCGAATTCAGGGGATCACGCCCATTGGGGACCAGTGCCTGATTGTCCATTTCATACGCTTTTTGTCTGTTCGGTTTCCAAACAGGGGCATATCTGTCTAACTCCTTCCAGGATCCAGGATACTGTGAGCCGTTGCTTGGGGACGGGGTGCACGGTCTTCGTGGCAGTGCTAGGGTCAAATATTGGTTCCATGCCCCCCACCATGGAACGGACTACGGATCGGCCACTGCTCTTTGTACGTCTGGTACGCATGCTTTACAAATTACCTGACCAGAAACGCTGATGCTGCTGCTGCTTCTATGCAGGTTGAATGCGTGTGTGGGAGTCTCCGTTGCTGAAAAGTAGCTCCAACACACATGCTTCCCACCCTTATTCCTTCTGGATTATCTCGGATACGAGACGTGCCGCTGGAGTTGGGGGTGGTGGAGAGAAATCCACCCATCGTCCCTGTGTAGGCGCAGGAGTCCTGTGACTATCTTATGACGGCCGCAGTGACAAGCAAATCCGGAAATAGAGGCCATTAACTATGCATAAATGAATAAAGCGGTGTTACTTTCTTTGTACGCGTGCCGCTGCATTCGTGATTGTCACCGACTGCATCGATGGTATTGATTAGTTTAGCTCACTCACACAACCTATTTAACGGTTAGCCTCGCAATGACCAATCAATACCTGTTCACTCCATGTTTTAAATTGTCATCTGAGTCAGGTGTGAAAAATTGGACCCTTGCACTCTGCCTCGTGCCGCTGTTTCCTTCTGCCAAACTTCGGTCCGGCTGCTTTGTTTAATTCCGTTACTAGGTAATATTGGCGACGGGTGAAAATGAAGGCTATCGTTAACACACCTGCTAACTTCTGGTCTGCGCTGAGGATAAACTGGCTTTAGCAAACTGGATAAGGTGGAATAAACTATTCACTAACTACTTGAAGCTACTGCTTGTTTTGAATCGCTTGATTTCACTTCCGTGGTCCAACAAGGTAAGACTATTCAGACAAATGCTTTGGGCTGAAGGTCAGCGATCTTGTGATGCGAAACATTTGGAAAATTTTGGCATTATTACTTCTGTCTTGGGTAAATGCATCACATTGGGGGTGGGGGTTAAACCAGCATGTTTATACTGCGAGATCTTGCTTTTCAAAGCTTGTACAGAAACTAAACGAGAGCGTCAACGGCTTCATTGTACACATCCACAAGCCGATTCCTAAGTGCAAGTACGATGAAGTTCCACCCGACAAAGTTGGCGAAGGAGTGAAAATACAATGCCTAATTATGGGGATTCTAGACGAAAGTGCACGGGAAAAAATCTTATCTGAATGAGTCAGATACCACGTGGAAGAACGTTTGCCTAATTGTTTGCTAAGGGGAGAATATCTCAGCTATGTGAATTCATTGGCCATCCAGTTGTTGCTGTTGTTCACCCAATTGTTAAACCACGGACTCTAGCTGAATGTCGAAGACATTTTACGTGCTACCGTTGCGGGATGTAACATGCTCTTGCTTCTGAGTGCATCCGCAAGGAAAGCATCTGCCGAAAATATGGCAAAACTGACCCCCTAACCAGGGTGTATAGATTGAAACCCGCTCCAATGACTAATCTCGGTCAACGGAGGCGTGATAATAAGCTACCGTTCGCGTAGAAAATTTGCGTATAGTCCCATCTCATCCTGCGTCATACAGAGTAGCCAAAAGTGTGATGCAGATGGAAAAGAGAGGCCTGCTAAAACATTTATCAGGAACCATTCAAACTCGCTTAGACCGGTTGCATTTTCCCAACAGAATAATTTCAACAATGCCACCGGTAAATCCCCGCAGAACGGATGTTCAGCAGAACACTTTGTACTAGACTACACCTATTATTTCCTAATCGTCGGGCGCAAGTAGAAACGAAACAAAACAAGAGAGCTATGTTAGAGGGATCATGATGTCGTTCCCCATCCGGGTGATCCAGTACATACAAGACTTCCCCAAGAACAGTCATGGCAGCCCGCAACCGTGATCACAACTGTATAAGTAACAGTCTAGTGAATAGAGATAGAGCCAACCAACACCATGGAAATTGATAGAACAAGACTGGTTTAACCAACGTATCATCATTGCAAGTTAGCTGAAGGTAAGCAACACACTTCAGCTATTGTGTCGCAATAACAGAAAAAATACGGAGCAATGTTTTTTAGCTTGCACACGCCATCTTTGCACCTTTTGTCTTTCTAAACCTTTAACCGTTAGGCCTCTAAAGCTAAACAATTATGTACACTGATTCTCCGCTGATTTCGACTGCGTGTCTTGAGGCGGCGTTCAAACCACGTACGTCCCTGTTGTGCGGCAACACGAGAAAAGGTGGAAACTATATTTGACTCAATACAGCAGACGTTAGAACAAACCAATCACGATACGGTGGGAGCACCAAACTGTCCACCAGTTCGTAGATCTCAGCGTGTAACTAAACCTGTTGAACCTTTCGTTCCCCGACTATGACTTCCAGGTAAGGATGGGGTGTTACGGGCGTCGATGACATGGATACGTTTAGCTCACCCGCAAAGTCTTGTTATTGGTTAGCATCGTATTGACCAGTCAATAACGCTTCATGCCCTCTTCATATCGTGCGTTATATGGGTCGTGCATGAAAAAGTGGTCCCATAAATTTTGGAGGCATGTTTTGCTTAATAAAGGACGAAATAACAGAGGTGGATGAATAACGTTCGTGTAAGGGATAGGATAAGCCATTAACCTAGTGACATTGATCTTATTTAACGACGATTCATATCCTCTACGACCCAGTATTAGTAAATAGACATTTGTAGCTTTGATGCGGCGAACACATTCGCGCAAAATCCCACCAGGTCCTGAAACACTGGCAATGAACAATTATCCGAAACGGGACAAGTTCGAACCACCTAATTTTTAAATCTCTTTTGCTAATTTGTTCAGCTTCACCTACTTACTTACAAGCCAGATAGTCCAACCAATAAACCGTAAAAGCACCAGACGTTTGGGCGAATCAATTGAATTCCATCTGTAATCCTCCTACTCATTTCAAGTCTACAGTTCAACCTTAGGCTTCAAAGGATAAGCGCACGTAGGTGCTTTGAATGGACATCGTGGACCCTGGAGGCCAACCACAGTCCTTTGCAACGGTACTAACCTGCATGGCAGTGGGAAATGGGTAGCGCTATATCCTAGTTAGCCAGCAACTTAGGAGGGTCTGTCTCCGTCCCCAATAACCAAGTGCAATAGGTTACTGACTAGTTGGATGGCTTGCCGAACAACCTCCTCGTGGTGCCAGCTGGGTGGTACGGGATTATCCCGTTCCAGCGAATGGTTCGGTGGCAGTGTTCCAGGACGTGGCGGGCTTTTGCCTAGCAAGCGTTCTCCCTATAAAAAGCCACATATGTCCGCTTAACAACACTGTGCCGTGGCGGATGTGACTCGCTACTAACTAAAGTCACTGTCCCTTGCTTCATCCTGGGGAAGCATGGTATTCCAGCAAATTAATGCTGCTCGGCAAACGGACAAACGAAAGGCGTATGAACTGAACAATCAGTCACCGGCTCCTAATGGGCGCGTTCCTCTGAATTCGCTTCGCTGCCTTGCGGGGAAGTCATTCAACCAAAGGCTCGGGGTGGTGTCCCCAAAGTCAACACCCTACCTCGGTTTGGGCAACCGGGTAGTATGCTACCCTGTGACAAAACCATGGTTTCCTTTGTGTTATGTTTTTTTACGATATCTATACTTTCTTTTGAGTCACATGGTTTTTGTTGGTTCATGTCTATTCGGAGACAGTCGCATATATATATATATATATATATATATATATATATATATATATATGAGTTCAATTCCAAATGGGACCAGAGGATGCCAGCGATTGACGAGCCCCAACAGGGCGAATCGGCACTTTGGTGCTTTTCCGGGTTGGTGCGCTACCGAGACTAATCAGCAAATATCCTCGTAACCATCCCTCACTTGTTCCTTATCGACTTACCAACATCTATAAGCAGTGCAATCAAGGACCAATATACTAACCGCCGTTCTGATTTCGATTTGTACTTGGTCATTAGAAGAACGGAACTTCCTTTCACTTAAACCCACACCACGTCCCTAAGTTTAGCGTGTGTGTGTGCGTGCGTACTTGAGTGCATTGGGCATGGGTGCGTGCGTGCGAAATTGCATGCATGTGTGTGCGTGTGAGAATATTTGCATTTGTGGCGGGTACCGTCTAAATTAACCAACTGTTTGGCTCATTTGCCGCGCCTGACTAACTTCACATATAGCGGATTTCTGACTCGCTGTATGGTAAGACTTCCTCAGCACGCTTCGTGAGGTTGCATTAAATCAGACTTGAGACGCGGCTGGTGAGGTCACAATAAGTTGGTACAAATTGTTCCAAAGAATTAGTTCCACCACCAACGATTTCAGGAATATGGAGTTCAGAGAGAAAGACGCAACTAGACAACGGCTGGCTGTTAAACGCAGCAACAATTTTGGAGAGTTAAACTTACCCAGAAACAATACGATACTCTGTTTATTGTCACATGTAGTCGAGTTCCAGCATGCGTCACATAAAAATTCCACCTGATCGGGGTAAACCGCAGCATCTTGCACCTCAATGTAATTGTCAGAAAAATGCACGGGATGATCAGTTGGATTGGTACATTCGATTGGAAGCGAAGCGTTTGCATGGACTGACGACTCATTCCTGGCACACAGACACATACGGTAGCGTTTCTGTGACGAAGTGAGGTCCACCACTACAGGTCCACACTTGGCGCCACACAAATCTGCATCGATCAAATGCATTGACAGGTTATCGAGGAGCCCCAGACGCCTCATACCACAGACAAAGTAGTACAGACCCTCCTCCATATCAGCCGTGGGAGTCAGCTGACCATCATTGATGGTGTATTCCGTTTGCTCACCGGTGGGGAGCACCACATAGGCCATACACTGATCCACTTGGACGGAATCTGTCTGCTCTTCTGTTCTGAGTTCAAAGTATAGCCGAATTGGTTTGCAGCACTTCCAGGCTGTTTGGTGTGGACTAGTTGTTTTTAACCGATAAATCGATTCCGGCGAACCTAAGGTAAGGAATTTTTAGTAAACAACAGCCAATGCCAGTAATCACAGATCATACGCATGCTAGACACCAATGAACAAAGCTTAAAGAACACTGGTGGCCCTATCTCGTTGAGCTCCGGTGAGAACTATATGCGTTTTGTTGGTAAAGCAAACAAACAAATACAAACTATACATGAGCCATGTGTGGGTCATTCGGCAGAAAAACAGCACATCACATTATGAGTATATTTTGACTGATAATGAGTGAGTGTTTCTAGCAGGTGTAAGAGTAAAACCCATTTAATGCAGTGAATAAGTAAACTACCTTAATACCATCAGTACACGTGGGTGGAGGGTGAGAAACACATCACAACTAATTTGCCGCAAAACAAAAAATGAGAAGAGATTAAACATTAAAAACTACAGAAACTAAAATAATAACGTACTACTAACATCGCATTATGTATTGGGTTGCGATCGTTGTTGGAAGAGGAAGCCAGAGGGGAGACAAAGAGACTCACAATACAAATCACTGAGGTCGGCTCCTCGCCATGCCAGCTAGTGTATCCAACCAAACGTGTTCATCATCCTCCGGTCCCCAGCCAAGCAGTCGGGAAACACCAACCGAGGCTAACTTCGAAGTGAGGGACTTCATTCCTCTCGACCAAGTCATCGCCTGACCTCCCATCCTCTTCTTCGATCCAGACCCGGGGCGCGCAAACAACACACGTCGCGCGAGTCGTAGTGCAGGCGTACACAACATGTAACCCAGTCACTGAAGTCTGGTGCGTGATATAATGGTTCTGAGCGTTTCACGCGATCTTCCTGTACCAAATTCGCGGCGCCGAACACACTAATTGCTCGCGCCTTGTTCCCACCAGACATGTGCTAAACCTCGAAGGCGTCAGTGGTCGAACGTAACTAGCCTCTTCATGTCGGATAATTTAATGGGCCAGGTTTCATACGGCTGCATTTTAAACTCCATCTTTCAGAGCAAGAGTGTTGTCACACAGACGCCACAGGTGGCGGTGATTTCGCTATAAGGTTCGTGGCCTCATCTCCAACCCCATGGACACAAATAAAGCTGTCCAGACCTTTAACTTTCTGATCACTGCTGATCACCTTCAACGGTCAGCACACAAGGTAGATCCCTACCAATCTTGGAGAAAGATTTTGCATTTCGACGGTGCAAAACCGCCTGAAACGGTAGACGGCCATAGCTACATTTTTCAGTGAGGCTTGGCACGTTCGTAAGCTATCACAGGTGAGCCCAGTGTCATTGTCATACCCCCAGTGCAAGAAGTCTGTCACTTGGGAATAGCTCCGCATCCTCCAAGTCGTGCCCGGCGAACCCCGTTTCCATGACTTTGTCAATGGCGAACTTCAAGAGGAAAGGTGACAGCGGGCAACCCGTGAGACAAGGGGAGTGGGGAAAAGTTTATGCTAAACCCTCCACGCGCCCAGAGTATGCGCATACAACGCTCATAAACTATTTACATTTTCCGCGGGCACACTCTTCCTAATTACGCTGTCCCAAAAGGCACACCGATCAACCGAATCGAAAGCTCATATGATGTCTAGGAACAGGACCATGGTGGGCCGTCAATAAACATGACGATGCAACAATAATTGACGTAATGTGAAGATGTGGTCAATGCAGCCTAGATTTCGACGAAACCCAGCTTGCTGCCAGCGCACCTGGCTTTCCCTGTTGCCAGTTAGTCTATAGAGGACGACAGAGGCAAGTAACTGAAGCAATTGCGATCAGACTGATTCCACTATGACTTCATCAAAGCAAAAAAGACATAGATTGAGATATGTCAACATTTCTATTGTTCTCATCAGTCGCATACATAATAAAAGCAGAAACATAGCCACAAATATATACGTGGGAAAAATTGGCGCACCAATTAAACTGTCAAAATCAAGACCAAAGCAATCTGATTTATTGCCTCAAGGGTGTTGGCAATCAGTGAATCGCTGCTAATTAGCCCTTACCAATGGAACAATGGAACAATGGTTTATTACGGGTAAAAAAGCATCGCTTAACAAGTCCCGTGGGATGGAAATTATTGCGAAAAGTGAATTGCATAACAAAGTGAAAAGCGCTGTGGTGGACTCACCATAGACTTCTGTGGAATAGCGGAGATGTTCGCGTATTAAACGTATAGATCCATAAATCCATCGGTTAGGCGTTTGACAAGACACCGTTTGATTGCGTTTTGTAACCCCTGGCTAACAAGTCATAAAATGAAATGTAAGTGAGACAATGCATCGTCAACACGTTTTTTAAATACCGCCAGATTGGGAGCAGAGACGACATAATTAGGGAGGGCGTTCCAAGGCTGGCACACGCGGAGAGAAAAGCAATTTCTACGTCATTCAAGCCGGCTATAATGAATTGTCAGTTTCGGAGGGTGACCTCTTAGATTAGTGTTGTGGTTCAATTCCAGCAGTTGACGGCAAATGTGGTTTGGGTTCTTCAGAATCTGATAAACCATTATGAGATCCCCCGCAAAAGCCGATATCGACTACTGTAGAATCTTAGAGATTTCAGTCTAAGCTGATAAGGCAGATGAAAGAGGCCCCTTACGTTCTTGGTTTCCCTTCGTTGAGGAGTCTCGAGAGCAAAGTGATCCTGTTTCTGTCACGGCTACCACGCTTGAGTAGCATATTCCACGTGAGGTCGCACGTAGGCGTTAAGCATTTAGGGAAATATTGAGGGTTAAAACAGACCGAAGGTTCTGCGAAGAAGGCCGAAATGTTGAGTTCCGGTTCTCGTCGCCTTCTCTGCTTGTTTTGAACACCCGAGATCTTCCTGTACCAATAGACTTAGGTCACGCTCCTGAGAAACCTTCGCCAAGGTGTGGTCTCCAATCTTGTAAGCGCTCACCGGCAGATGACGCAGATGTTTCACTTTGCACTTAGCTATGTTTAATTGATGCTTGTTCCTCTCTGACCATTCGTAAATGCAATCTAAGTCACGTTGGAGCAAATCCTGGACTGACTTGTTACTAATCGCCCGCCAAATCTTGACGTCATCGGCGAAATGCAGGAAATTTAAGGAGATGACTCTTGCCGTGTCGTTGATTAACACCAGTAATAAACACGGTCCCTGCACTGAGCCTTGTGGGACACCACATTCCATCTCAATTGGGCTAGAGAGTGATCCTCTAACACGTACTTGAAGCTTCTGTTGGTAAAGGAAGCTGTCAATCCAACCAAGTACAGGATCTCCGATTCCGTAACTCTGAAGCCGTTGAAGTAGGATGCGGTGATCAGGGCGGTCGAACGCTTTGGAGAAGTCCAGATAGATGACGTTCACTCCAACCCCATCATCGGCCACTTCCGTCCAACCTGTGCTATGTGCATTAATACTCTTGAGACAATCACTCAGACTGCCTTGGTCTTGATTTTGACATTTTGATTGGTGTGCCAATTTTTCCCATGTATATATTTGTGTCTGTGTTTCTGTTTGTATTGTGTATGCGACTAATGAGAACAATCTAAGTGTTGACGTAGCGCAATCTATGTTTTTTTTCTGATTTGATGAAATGGATGAAGGGGACCAAATGTTTTACGATCCTCTATAACCGCCGAGTTCAGAAGGGGTGCCTCCCTTGAAAACTGTGACTATAACTGAGAGCCTCCAGTCGGTTAGGATATTCTCATACTTCCCTAGATTCCTTAGAACTTTATGTACATCTTCCAAATGAGCAGAGCCCCCATATTTGAAGAGGGCTAGACGAAGTTCATCTGCTCCGGCAGCCTTGTTTAATTTCAACCCTGATTTCACCTTCGACTTCTGCGTATGAGGTCGCATCCGGGCTGACGGCCAGTGGAGTACGGCGATTATTGGCCCTTGGAGAAGCTGGCAACTCTGACTGCTTGAACTTCTTCTTAGCGTGTTCCGCCAAACGCTGCAAGTGATTTGACAGGTTATGGATCCGCTTTCCACTCTTGTCGCATATAGTCTTGCTAACAGTAGGTATTTTGCTGCCCGTTTCTCATATCAGACGGAAGAACTTCCGATAGTTATCAAGGGCAGCGGCTGTCTCCATCCCCGGTGCACGATGAGATTACCAGGTTTCGCGCTCTCTTCAGGCTAGCACGCAGTTGCGCTGTGAGATCTTTGCGAGTCTCACTGTATTCGTTTCCAGCCGGAACACATCAGCGGACATCCAAAAGGTCCAGAGGCTGCGTAGAGAACCAATGACGATTTGCTTTGCCACATGAAGACATGCCAGCTGCTAATAACGTCTGAGGAATATGCGACCAGTGATTTTCAATGGTATTCAGTGAGCTCTTTCTCAGCTGGGATGCCAACGCACTTGATACGCATTCAAAACATCTAACTTAGCCAGTTGACAAGTATCTATGCGTTCACAGCGCCGCTGCGGACATCCACCGAAATGCACCTGAATGTCGGCACTCACAAGAGAGTGCTGGGAGTCCACACTCGTGCGCCAAATCGCGCGACAGTTTTGGACACAGCCTCTCCAGCGGTAACTGATCGTGATGTAGTAGATTTGCTTTCACGGCTGGTCCGAGGCTTGTGGGCTCCATGTCCCGTAGTGCGGCTGCTGTGTCGGAAAGAGGCGCGCATCTTCACATCGGTGTAGCAACCGCTCACCGTTATCATTACTGGAGCCAGCATCGTGTTGACCACCCAGATGTAGCTCATCAGTTAACAGTGTTCCCACTTGGGTGTTCAAATCAGCAGAGAGCACAACAACCTTCGTAACTTTCTTGTGTCGGAGAAGCACGTTCGTTTGGTGCTCGAATTCATCTTTCACCGAGTCAGCGCAACAGTTTGCGCGCGCGTAAGCTGCATCAGCATCATCATTATACTCGCTAGCGGCAGGTGGAAAGCACCTTGGCTGAACACTTTGTTGGAGTTCCCAAAGTGTGTCTGGCGGTACATTTAGTATCTCAGGGACAGCTCTCGCCCTCAGTCATCGTAATGGGGGTAGCTATTGTTAGAAGGATGTATAGTTGACAAAAGATTTCTGTGAAAATT